AGCATAAATTGAGATTTTGTTGTCCAAACATTTCACACTAACAACAGAACCAAATATACGAGTTTACCCCGAATATGATGAAATATGTGAAATATATTTCAAAAAGATAAATATACACAAATCTCAGTGAAAAGCTGCTAAAATTCCATCCAGACTGAATATGGGGGGTCGGTGGTGTCACAAGCAAAACACTTGCTGTAATATCAGAGGACTATGTAAGGCTAACATTTAAATCCACAGGGATAAATGCAGCTCCAGTTTATGTACATGTTGTGGCAAAGAGCACAACACATACTTGATGATGATCGTTTATCAGTAATCAGAATGTTCAAAGGGATAATCACAGCAAATGTCTGATTTTCTGGTCACATTCCAGTCAGTGACGTCTTTTTGCAGCTGCTAAAACCCCAGCAGCTGCCATCACATGACACGCGTACAAAATCTACATTTAAAGTCACAGTGCAAAGCACAGCCACATTTGAAAAGCCACTTACCTGTGCATCTAAGGTTCCACAGCATTATGAATTTTGATGAGAAGAGATTTACACTTATGAATGTACTTACAGCATAAAATTTGTATAAAATATGTGTACATTCATCACGGAACATCAGTTTGAAATCAAAGAGAACAGGGGAGCACATGTTACGACAGGCATGGACACATCTGAAGTTTTAATCTCTCAGTATTTCAAACACTGAGCGCCTTCAGTACCCAATCTGTTCATCTACACTTAAAGGCTCCATTCTGATGGACCTTTTCAGATCTATGTCAACATACACTGCATGTCAGTGGGGAAAAAAGCCAAGGAACTTCTGTAGATCTTTATCAAGCTACAGAACAGGAGAAACTATTTCCTGGTAGGAAAACGGCTTCATAAACTGTGATGTGGGGAGAAAAAAAAGAAAAGAAAACAAATTCTACAACCACAGGGACTCTTCCTACAGTTAGCTATACTGAATGCTCTTTTAATTTAATTACAGAAGCTACTCGAGCACAGGAAGCAAGCTTTGAATTTTCCAAACAGTATTTTAAGGACTTACTTGCTTTTTCTGATTTGACAGGACAAAACTGAACTCATTAGAAAGAACTGCAAGCACAGCATCAGGCAAACACTCATAAACTGGTTGATGCAAACTCTACAGTGAAAAAAGCAGCCTCGGGCTATTGGGCTACTTCAGAAATAAAGGCAGGTCAGAATTGGCCATAGTTTAACTTTCAGCATAGCGTGTCTAAAGATATGGTTTCAGTTTTTGTCATTATGGGCCACTGACAGATGGTTATAGACACTAGAAATCTAAAGATACAAAAGGTGAAAGGTTGTGCATACTACTGATTCTTCCTTTAATAAGTTTGTCAGTGTAGCAGGCCAGCACTCAGTCTTGAATATTCTGCAGATAAATCCTGTTCTTCTCACATTTTTATACATCAATGCAGAATAAAAAAAAAACATTTTTCTGTAAAAACTTCAAGGTTAAGGCTCCTAATGAATAGCATCAGGTAAGTGAATGTGAATCTAAAGATCACAAAGACCTCAAAAGAAAAAAATTGTTAATATTCATCACGCCCTATTCTGAATAGTTTGTGACTTTGCTGCATTCATTAAATACTGTGTGCATTCAGCTCAGTTCTGACACTTTTGTATATAAAAACACCAACATTAGTATTATAGTGAGCTCAGAAGGGAAAATGAATGTCTGAAAAAGAAGGTGGAAGGAAGACAACAAGCAGGTGAACATTCTGAACTGTGTTTTTCCTTCACTGTTAATACAAGCCCTGATATTTTTCAGCTTCCACTTAATATGATGAAATTTTTATAAGATTATTTATTAGAAATGTGAAGTTTGTAGAAGACATTAACTGAGCAATTGGTATGTTTAGCTTTCCAGAGAATAGCTGTTATACAGCAGATAGCTTCTGACAGCTTAACCAACACAAAAGAATAAAGAAACCAAAACACTCCTTTTTTTATTTTAATTTTTATTGAGACGTTGTTCTCAATCACAAAAACTGGACCTGATTGTTAGAGTGCTCACTTTGCTGAACAACTTATTTACAGTAAAGTCACTAGTGAAAGGCTGTTGCTTCAGTGAGCTTGTAAAAAAAAGTCATATATAATACCATAAAAATTATTAACAGTGGTTATAAATGCTAGTAGTGATAGTACAAACATGACAAACATATCTGGCAAAGAAATGTTGAAACGTCATTTTTTTCTAAACTAAATTGCTTACAAAACAGGACAAAGATTTTGGTTGGCACACAAATTAGTTCAGCTGAATCAAACAAAACTGTAACAATAAAAGCAAAAAAAAAAACAAGTCATCAAGAATACAAGTAAATATGTACACACGGATTCACATGCACGCACACGCACTCACACTAATGAGGTGATGAGATAGAAGAAAGGAGGCAGCATTGAGGACGAAGCATCCATCAGTCCCTAAATTCATCTGTATTCCTTCAGCTAACACGAAGCACCTCGGTTGGGATGTGCAGATTTTGTTAACGTGGAAGGTTTAGGCCCAGCTTAGCAAACAAAGCCTGGTCCAACTGATGATACTGTATTGCACTCGACCAAATGGTCTCCATTGCCACTGGAATTCAACATATACCTCCTCGTTACAAACAGCTGTTACTCCAGCATCACAATAATATGAATAAATGAAAAACAAAGTACAAGTAAAGTTTAGTTTGAACCCAATTACAGAGCAATGGTACAAATTCTGCTTTATGTTTCAGTCTAAAGCACTACAGAATGACATGCTGTGACAAGCTGCTCTGTAGGCTACAAACTAAAACTCTGTTCCATGAAGCATTTCGCAACAAATCAAGGCTATGCAAAGAAACTGTCTTTTCAAAGAAAATAATATCTGATTGAGAATATTTGTCTTTTACCTGACATGGGCAAAAAAAAAAAAAAAGGTAGTGTATGGAAGCAGAGCAAAGGCCGGCATTATATATCCCAATCTGAGGCATTGCTTAACATGAGCTCACACTGGCCGATGGTGTGCAAGTTGCTTAGAATGTTAGTGTGTGTGTGCGCAATGGGACACATTCAAGAAATCAAATAAATTATTGTCTGTGGCGTTCGATTAGGCGAGCTCATCTTGTTTAAAAAACACTCCACGGCTAAAAGGTGGCACACAAGAAGAGCACACAGTCTTTGGAGGCAGGCGGATTTTAGAACTCATCGTGTCGAGTCAGCGCCTCCCCGAAGTCGGTCGCCTGGCTGCCCACAAACAGGTCATACTTATCCACAATTTCGGCTTTGGTGAGACGACCATCCTGACAAAAGAAACACAAGAAACCATCTGCTATAGGCATTCAGTTTGTCCTATATGTTTGAACTAACACAATGGTCTGCCTTTCAAGCTATTTTAAAGGCCTCCAA